TTTAAGCCAGCATGCATTTGCCATACAGTCACAGGGGACCAAGAGACCTCGTGAGCCCTGGCACGTCCTGAGGGTGACTGCCTGGGCCCTCCGATGCATTTCCCAGACGCTGGAACCCCTGCAGTCCCGAATAGGGCATAGGGCCGCCGGCCAAGAAGGGGGGCATACCACCGTTGCCTAAGGCCATGGCCCGGCCCTCCGGGAACCCTGCTTGCGATGGGAAGCCAGGAGGCAGAGGGGCGTCGCTTCGAGCGGGGACAAAGGACGAGGGATAAGCGTGGGGTCCTAGGGGCACACCAGCAACGCCCATGCTTTCCAGATATCTACCTTCGTTCCTCTCCCCAGCATCCGACACAGAGGGCGGTATTCCTTGGTGGACTGTTTGGGGATCTGGTGGCTCGTGGGGCTGCGGCTTTTGCTCCTGCTCTCGGTGGCCCGTCTGGTGCGACGGCTGAGGATTGTGCACTTTTCCTGCATAATCTCCATCGCCACAGGATACTATCTCCAAGGAAGGGGATGGCACGTTTTGTACAGGCCCATCGCCAGATATCTTCTGTCCGGGATGCTCCTGCGGCGGGGAGAGGTGCTTCGAGACCCCTTCCTCTTCCAGCAATGCACGGGCCCGGCCCAGAAAATTTACTTGATTATTGTCACGCTGGTAGATATTTTGTGCCTCCAAAGCGGCGGGGTGCCCTTCTCTTACCAATTTCATTAAGGAAATGAGTACGTCCTGAGGGGACAACCCCGTAAGAGGAAGAAAGGCGATCTCAGAAATGGTGTCTGCCACATCCATGTACAGCCGTCTGAGACAGGGACAAGACGCCAGCAATATACGCACTTACACGCTTGTCAGATCATCATACTCTTCGGACGGGGGAGCAATGATACGCAAACCTCGTCCAATTTCCCTCATACTGGTGTGACTTGAAAGCACTATAGCATCAAAATGTCCTCACCTCATCTGATTTTCTGCTGCCGCCTCCGCCATCTCCACGCCGCCGATGGTGCATAGCAGGTATATCTGTCCTGATGCGCGGTCAGTGGCGTTAAAGTAAGTCTCGAGTGCCGGAAGGAAACGTTGGTCATCTTAGTATTGCAATCTTGGCGAGGGAGTGACTCGCCGCACCGACTCCCGTGATAACAGTGTCCAGACTGATTATGGCATAATTGCAGGCAACGGTCAGAGTGTTTGGTCCATGCCGTAGGTTGATGTCTATATTCATGGCTATATCCACGGCATGCATGCGTAGGACTCAGCGTCCAGGTAGCAGCATTGTGAGCTGCGACAGATCGTTCACCCCCGTGTTGCATCAAGCGACGCTTTCTCCTACTACTAGTAGGATTCTAACAACTCTTCGATCTGCCACACACACGCTCGGACACACGTCCCTTAGTCCCTCCTCCACTCATCATGAAGACGACGGATCTCCTTGCAGCCATCCAGCCCTACGTGGATATACTGGCAGACCGGTGGCCCGGATTAATCCTGTCTACGGTAGCTTGGTCAGTAGTGTTCGGCCTCGTCTGTGTCCTGCCGGCCATCTCGGGCACAAGCTTCGACTTTCGAAACCGGACCGTCTCCATCCTCCACGCCTTTCTTTCTGCTTACCTGACCCTGGTTCTGGTTCTGCTGGAGACTCCTTGCAAAATCGGGGGCCCGAACACCCGCAATCAGATCATTGTCCTGAACGTCAGCACGGGCTATTTCATCTACGACTACGTGGCCTGCACATTAAACGACGTCCGGAAGCGGCATTTCGATACCATGAACTTTTTCCACCACCTGGCTTCCCTGGCCGGCCTTTTGACGGGGCTCATAAACGAACGTTCCGGTGCCGAGCTCGGCATGTGCCTGTTCTTGATGGAGGTCTCCAACCCTTTCATGCACACCATCCACCTCTTCCGAGAGCTCGGTTACAATGACGCCCCTGTGGCCGAGGCGAACAAAGCCCTCTTCGCCATCATTTTTACTCTGGCCCGTGTTGTCGGCGGCCCTTTCCTGACCTACTATACCTTGGTCAGTCCACGTACCCACTGGGTGATCAAAGCCGGCGCCCTCGGCATCCTTGCCGTCTCCTTCCTATGGTTTTCCAAGATTGTGGCAATGCTGAGCAAGGCCTTCGGAGGGAGCGAGGGAAAGGATAAGGGGGGAGAGAAAAAAAAGGGTAGATAGCAAAGCGGAGGGCTTCTCACCCCTCAGGAGGGCGGCCGCGTGGCGCGCATAAGAATGCGCTCTCACACGCCCTTGAGCAGTAAATTAAAAACAGTTTCCGGAGCCCTAGCATCACACTTTTCCATTTCCTTGCAAGCAAAGCGAAAGCGCCCTCGGGTCTTTCCTCCCTCTTAGCCCGGCCCTCATGCCGCCCCCCTTGCCGAGACCCCCCTCCTTTACATGTTTACTTCGCTCCCGCCCTCCCAACCTTTCTTTTCCACACCGCCACTTCCCAAAGAGGGGGAGGACAGATTGAACGGCTCACGCTCGTCCACGTGGGGCGGCGGGGCACCAGCATCCATGGACCGCGCCTGGCCCTCGAGTCCCTCGATGCTATTTACAGTGAGGGAAGGAGGGGAGGCGGGGGAGGAAGGCGAAGGCACGGGAGAGGCCGCGGGATTGGAGGAGCGAGAGATGCCGCTCGTGGCTCCACCGAGGCTCTTGACGAAACGGTTGAACTCAAAGGCGAGGCCCGGGGAGGAGGGAGGGGGAGGGCGCCCGCCCGGACCTCCCACTGCCCCCGGCGTGTCGAGGCCCTGGCGAGACGAGATGGAAGAGAAATGGGAAGGTGGGGAGGCGCCGGGATGAGAGGGGTGGGAGGCCGGCTGGGGGCCACTGGCAGGGGTAAGGGCGGAGGCCTGTGCGCGAGGGGCGGACCACCCGCCCCCGGCTCCGGGCCTTGGACCCTGCGCGGTCAGAGGCTCCCCTCGACCTTGGCCCCGCGCTCCTTCGCCTTGCTCCGACTCGGGTCGAAGCGACGCCGGGGCCTCGGTCTCGACGCTGGTGGATTGAAAGGCCCCTCCGCTTACCCCCCCCCCGTTTTGCCGGGCCCGTTCCCTCTCCTGCTGCCGCTGAATCTCCTGGTGGATCATCTGCGCTTGCCGCTGCTCGTCCCTGAGCCGCTGGGTGCGCTGCCAGTAGACCGCCTGCTCCTTCAAGCTCTCCTCCAGGCCCTTGGCCGAGGTTTGGAACTTCCGCCACCACCCGTTCAGGTTGGTGGACACCTGGTACTGCTGGTCCCACGCCTTGATCTTCTTCGACACCTGCATCTCCTTGTCCAGGCTCTCCAGCTTCTTGAAGCTCCGCTCGTACACCCTCCAGGCCTTCCAATTGAACTTGAGCTCGGACCAGGCGTAGGCCAACCGGTCGCAGGCGTAGAGCACCAGCTTCCCCAGGGCCCGGATACAGGCCCCGAAGTTCCCTTCCTTGTTGAAAAAATGCACGCCCAAAACAGCACCCCCTACACTGCCCAGGTACATTTGTCGGTTAAATAAGGCGCGGCCCACGAATAAGCCGAGCACGGCCCCGGCGAACGTGCAGCCTAACAACAGCTGCTCCCCGTCTGGAAGAATGTGGTTGAAAGCGCTGCTACCGGTGCCCGTTGCACCTTGCACGTTCCCCCCACGTTTTTTCCCCCCGCTTGCCCCACCACCGCCTGAACTAGCCGTCCGCCCCGTGATTCCCTCCAATTTCAAGAGCCGACTCTCCAGCTCCAGAAGGCGCAGTTCATATGCCAAGTTATCCCCGCTGGTCGTCGCGTTCACTCCAGCCCGCTCGGCAAAGAAGGACGAAAAGGATGAAAATACGGGTAAAGAGGAACGACGGGCAGAAAGCGTGGCGCAAGGATAGTTTGTCAGCGGTTGCAATAGAAGAGGTACGGGCCGTTGCGGGGTAATAGTCACCGTCCGCTGCCCGTGGCCCCGTCCTGGGGCAAGGGGGGATGTCACATAAGCCAGGCGACAACTATAACAGCAGCACAAGAGCGTCAGCCATGCCAAAAGGCTCCCCACGTGCATGGCCTAAGAATGCGGAAGGGAATGGATCGAGCAGAAGGGAGTTGATTGCTAGCTAAGTGGATGAACTCATAGTCTCGTTGCTTTAACAAGTGGAGGGCGGCTCTGCGTGCACTGACGGGCATGCGTGCTTCCACACGAGAAACGAGACGCTTCGAATTTTAGAAGCCCCAGGCGTGTGCAAGGCCTGGCAATCCTCGGCGGAGGCAAGGATCGAGTGCCCCGTTCGACTTGGCCACTGTGTGTCGGTTTGGTGACATGAACTTGAAATCGCCGAAGGGGGGGGGTAGGGGGGAAAACCCGGGTTCCGCTCTCTGTCCTGCCATTGCGTGTCTGACCCCCAATATCTATCAAGTACACAGACCTGGTCGACAGTGGGACGGTAACTCGTGCGCTCTGGGAGTCTTTGTGATGGTCGTGACTCAACAATGATGTTTCACAAGAACCTTTTCCACTGCCGGCACATCGTGGAACAGGTTCTGGTGTCAAGTCTTGGGCGTACATAGGGCACCAAAAATGTACTGTCGCCCGCTACGGTACATTTTAAGCCAGCATGCATTTGCCATACAGTCACAGAGGGGGCTGCGTAGGCTGAATTTATCAGCCGCAGGGATGCAACATGGTCACCGGGGCTCGAGGCCTGGGTGTGGACGCCGATTGCTTAGTCTACAACCTACACCGAACCCGCCTCAGTCACGCTCCACCGCCGAAGCTGTACCCGCCGATGACTCCGGCTCCATAGAGCTCTCAAGCACCGTGCCTTCGGAGCATGAGGGAGAGGGATTTGATGGCACGGCGTCGCAACGGACAGCATCGTCGGCTGCACCGCCGCAGTCTTGCGTCCTCCCTCCAACAGAGGCTTCTCACGGTGACTTTCCCGGCGCACCGCCCGAGGGGATTCCTTTCACCTCCTCGCTTCACGTGGTTGCCCCCGAAGAGCATGTAGTCTGGCCTGTATACCGGGTGCTCGAGACAGACGGCCGTGTGCGTTCCGGGGCTCTCGTTCCCGACCTTGACCAAGCTGTTGTCCGCCGCATGTACCACACGATGGTACGGCTGCAAGCCATGGACACCATTTTCTACAACGCGCAGCGGCAAGGTCGGATTTCCTTCTACATCACCTGCACGGGGGAGGAAGCCACACACGTGGGCAGTGCCGCCGCCCTCCGGCCTGAGGACCCGGTCTTGGCCCAGTACCGGGAGGGCGGGGTCTTGATGTGGCGCGGGTTCACCCTCGATCAGTTTGCGGACCAATGCTTCTCCAACCGGGACGACCTGGGGAAAGGCCGGCAGATGCCCATCCACTACGGCACGGCCGCCTTGCACTTCCAGACCATTTCTTCCCCCCTCGCCACCCAGATCCCCCACGCGGTGGGGGCGGCCTACGGGATCAAGCTCGAGGACGCTTCCAAGTCGGCGGAAGACAAACGCTGTGTCATCTGTTTCTTCGGGGAAGGGGCCGCGAGCGAGGGCGACTTCCACGCGGCCCTCAATTTCGCCGCCACCTTGCAAGCCCCCGTGTTGTTCTTCTGTCGCAACAACGGGTACGCCATCAGCACGCCCGTCAAGGAGCAATTTCGTGGGGATGGTGTCGTCTCCCGCGCCCCCGGCTATGGCATGCATGCCCTGAGGGTGGACGGGAACGACGTCTTGGCCGTGTATCATGCCTGTCAGGCGGCTCGGGAGGTGTGCGTCCGGGAGGGAAAGCCCGTGCTGGTGGAGGCCATGACCTATCGCGTGGGGCACCACTCGACCTCGGACGACTCCACGCGCTACCGGTCCTTGTCGGAAATTAAACAGTGGCACGGACAGGAGGATCCCCTCCGCCGGTTTCGGGCCTGGATGGAGGGGAAAGGGTGGTGGTCGGACGAAGACGAGGTCCAACTGCGAGACGAGGAGCGGATGGCGGTGCTGCGGGCTCTTGAGCGTGCGGAAGTGAAGCCAAAGCCGGGAATGGAGGCTTTGTTCGAAGATGTGTACCGGGAGAAGCCCTGGCATTTGCGCGAACAGGAGGCGGGACTGCGGGATCACGTTGAAAAGTACCCGGATGTGTACAAAGAGGGCACAGGGAAGGGGCACTGAGCGGGTTCCACGGTGGGGGAGGAAATGGGACGGGACGGATGGAGGGACAATGCCGAGAAATGTAGCATGGAGCTGTATCAACGCTTGGGTTGGACACAGTGGGAGGAGGGAGAATATTTCGAATGCGGTATGGATGCAAGGTGTGACGAAGGAGCGTTAAGAGGCAATAGCTGTCAAAGAGGGAAAGCCTCGGAGGGATTGGAGCCAGTATAGGTGGAATGTATCATGTGCATAATCAGCTTGTCGATAGTAGCATAGCGCAACCCTGTCCATAGGTGAGACAACGCTTGCTGTGACCAAAGAAATCGGGCATTGTCGTTGTCATTTTTCCAGCCTGCCGTGAGGTCCCTCCCACGCGCCTGGCAGAGGATTCGCTGCTCGTGGGCTGTGAAAAAAATTCCTTCCGTCCCCATCGTCAAGGAGCACATTCCTCACGCTAGACCCTCCGCGGCATACTCGAACCCTTTGTTTTTTCTCACCGTGCTCACATCATCGGGGCCTGTGCCTCCAGTATCGCATGCATGTATCCTCCTTTTCCCTGCTTTTCCGTGCTTCCCCCGCACGTCTTGTCGCACCCGTCCCCCCACATTTCCCTTCTGACGCTAGCATCGATTTTGCAATCTCTTTCTTCCTACTTCCTCCGTTGGCGCTTACGTATTCGTGAACGTGGGCTTCCTTTTCTCCACGAAGGCTGCCATTCCCTCTTTTTGGTCCTGGAGGGCGAAGAGGCTGTGGAAAATCCGCCGCTCGAACCGCAAACCCTCCGCCAAATTGAGTTCGAATGCCGCGTTCACAGTCTCCTTGGCGGCCGCCGCCACAGGCAAGGAAAAGGAGGCGATCTTGGTCGCCATTTCCAGGGCCACGTCGACGGTTTTCTCGGCGGGCACCACCTTAGACACGAGGCCATCTCTCTCCGCCTGCAGCGCATCTATCATTCCGCCTGTCAACACCAACTCCATCGCCTTGCTCTTCCCTATCGCCCGGACCAGGCGCTGCGTCCCTCCGCACCCAGGAATCACCCCCAGCGTGATCTCAGGTTGTCCAAATTTGGCGTTTTCTCCGGCGATGACGATGTCTGCCATCATCATCAGCTCACAACCCCCTCCTAGCGCATAACCATTCACAGCCGCCACGATAGGCTTGGTTACCCGGGCAATGTGACCCCATTCTGCAAACATGTTCGAGCTAAAGGCCTGCACGAATGACTTGTCCTTCATTTCCTTTATGTCCGCACCTGCAGCGAAAGCTTTCGTCGAGCCGGTCAGAACGATTGCACCGACAGTATCATCAGCCGCGATGGCCGTGGTGGCATCGATGAGGTCTTGGATGATGCCGTTGCACAGGGCATTCAAGGCCTTGGGCCGGTTCAGTGTCAGAAGGGCAACTTTGCCCTTCTTTTCCGCCAGTATGAAGTCGTATTCCTTTTCCCATTTCCCTGCCGGGGCCGTAGACATCAGCGACATTTGACAGTTTGTCCGCAGGCAGGGGATTGAGCTCGTCAAACCATACCTAACGGCAGGACGACAAAGGATGGAGCGGGCCAGCATACTGTGGGTAGATGTGTGCAAGGTGAAAAGAAAAAGAAATTGTATGAACAAGATACGACGAACAGGACTGGAAATGATGGCCGAGCAATAGGCGAGTACATCATACAACGCACCTCCTCTCCTTCTGATACGCACTCTCTTAAAGACATGGTGGCCTTGGACATGGCCGGCATGTTGCACCGAATATGTCATGCGTTCAGCGACGTCTCCCCATGCAGCAGTGCAGGAACAGCGAGGGCATTCAAACGGAATATTGAGCCATGTGCAATGCCCCTACCTCTTCTTGCCTTTTCCTCCTTCGCAAGGAGGCGGACATCAGGTCCCCACGAATCGGGGAGGTTTCAATTGTCTCGCCACGCTGGTTGGAAGTCTTTTTCCCCCTTGGTGTGCTGACGATTATAAAGTGTCCAGAGTAGCAGTAAAGCCGGCAGGCCTGGCCTTCGCCTGAGTTCCTAGCTCTCGCCCGTGGTCCTGGCCCCTCCCTTTCCCGGCGCCCCCCCTTCCTTATTGCCACTTTACTTAAAGGCGCTCTCACTGCAATCACGACACAGCAAGCCTTCCCTATCGAGCGTCATGGGCGATTCCACGGGTTCAAAAGATCGCCAACGCCCAACTTTGAGGTCGACATGCCCGCCTTTCATACCTTCAAGGATGTTCACGCAGTCCTCCTCCAATCCAACCTCCTCCCCGAGCCCGTCCACCGTGTCGTACAACTATCAAGGCCAAAACCAGCTTCAATCCGATTACAATCAGTTCTCAAACCAACATCACTATCAGTTCCACCAGTCAAATGGAGAAAGAGGCGAGCAGCGGCTTAATTTTCGCTATGCATCGCAA